GCGGACCGCGCCGTAGGAGAGGTGCGGGGCCTCCCTCCTAGGGCAGTGCAGGAGGACCGCCGCTGCTCTGTGCTTGACTAGGCGGCACGCGGCCGCGCCGGGTGGCGGCCGGGGAGAGTCGGTCGCGCGCCGTCTCGGCTGCCCGGCCGAGCAGCTGCCGCGCCGCTGATTGCCACCCGCGGCAGATGCGGCGCAGCGGCGCGCCGGAAACGAGCCGGCGCGCGGCGCGGCGCCGGTATATCAGCGCCGATGGCGCGCGATCGATGGGCGTCTGACGTCAAGCGCAGTCAGTCGGCGGCGAAAATACCGCTCTGGGCCGGCCGCGGGTGGTGCGGGGGCTGAGCCTCCCGGACAGCCGACCACCCAAGGCCGGCCGAACCCTGTAGGACAGCCGACCCGACCCCTCCCGACCCCTAAAGGACGACCGACATCTCCCAGACAGCCGACCCCTCTCGGACAGCCCAGCCCCACTGGACACAGTGGACAGCCCCCGACCGCTGGGTCACACACAGGTCAACCCGGCGGGACCCATCACATATGTAGACCTGCCGAGTGCCGGCCCATCACACACACCTGCCGGTCCACGATACAGACCTGTCGGCCCATCATACACACCTGCCGGCCCACCATACAGACCTGTCGGCCCATCACACACACCTGTCGGCCCACCATACAGACCTGTCGGCCCATCATACACACCTGCCGGCCCACCATACAGACCTGTCGGCCCATCACACACACCTGTCGGCCCACCATACAGACCTGCCGGCCCATCACACACACCTGCCGGCCCATCATACAGACCTGCCGGCCCACCATATAGACCTGCCGGTCAATCACACATACCTGCCGGCCCATCATACATACCTGCCGGCCCATCATACAGACCTGCCTCTCCTGAGTCCTTGCCCGACATGAACGGTATTCACACTCCACAGCTATCGGTAGAACTGCCCAGTAAAACTGTTTGGTAAATATTTTCAGCAAAGCTACACGGTTAGACAAGGCTCAGTGAGGCTGCCCGGTACAGCTTCTCAGTAAAGCTGTCCGATAAAGTTTTCCCAGGAAAACTTCACGGTACGGTTAGCTGGTAAAGCTGCCAAGCTTAGCTGCCTAGTAGGTAATGCTGACCAGTTAAGATGACCGGTAAAACTGCCCAGTAAAGCCACCAGGTAAAGTTGTCCGATAAGGTAAAGCTGCCCGGTAAAGCCTCCCAGTAAAATTCCCGGTAAAGCTACCTGGTACAGCTTCCCCGTGAGGCTGTCTAGGAAAGCTACCGGTAGCATTGCGACAGAGTCGCTGCCGGCGCTGCGATGTCGTCAGCACCGCGACGCCGTCCTTCTGCGATGTCTGCGTGTCTGGAAAGGGGCGCGTCGTCGTCGACCGCGGGCACTAATGGGGACCGATGTGGTCATTTGTGGGACCCGACAACCCGTTCGTCAACAGATAGGGTGGGGCAGAGAACCAGAGGGAAAGAGGAGAGGGAGAAGGAGAGGAAAGATGAAGAGGAGAGAGAGGGAAGTGTGAGAGAGGAAAAGTGAGTGAGAGAGAGAGAGGGAGAGGGAGAGAGAGAAAGAGAGCAATAGAGAGAGGGAGGGAGAGAGAGAAAGAGAGAGAGAGGGAGAGAGAGAGAGAGAGAAAGAGAGAGAGAGAGAGAGAGAGACAGAGAGAGAGAGAGAGAGACAGAGAGAGAGAGAGAGAGAGAGATCAGGAAATGAGCTGCTGATATAATCACACGACCAGCGTTTTCTACAACCTCTGGGCAGACTGCCAGCTAATGCGATCTATGCGCTGTGTTGGACACAGAAGGTTTCATTCCTTTGCTGCAAAGCCAGGCGCGGCGGCCGGCGGATGCTCTGTTCCGCCGACCATCTGTGTGCTGCGGCACAGCCTACCTACCTGCCTGACTGGCGCGCTGTCCGCCCTCCCCGCTCGATGTGTCGGCAGGCGCAGCCACTGACTCGTGAAACTTGTGATTGAGCGGGGCGTCCGCGCTGTGGACCCCCGGCAAACATTGCCTGTGGGTCATCCCGCAATGCTCATCTTCCCAATGAATTGCCTGTATGGCTGGCTGGTAGTTAGGCTAACAGAAACTGCATCACCCATGCAGAGATCATTCTGCAGCATTGGCAATAAAGCTGGCAGATTGCCGCATTCCTGTCGGTGTTACATATACTAAAAAGTCACATTTAGATGGATTCAGTTTAGAGTTGCAAAATTTCCCTACCGCACTACCGGCATGCCGGTAATTTTTCACCACCGCAGGTTTCTTCGTGGTATCTGGCACGTCTTGCCGGTAGCATGCCGGTATTTTTGATTTTGCACACAAAAAAAAAAATTATCAGCATATGATTCAAACTTTGGACACTAAGAGGCTATTGAATTGTAATAACAGCAACCTTAGCCACTGCAAAATACATTTTGTGGTAGAAGTTCCATTGCTAAGGGTAGGGGACAGGGGTAACATATGAACCTCAGCATTTCACAGGTTTGGCTCTAATTAGAATTGTCAAGAATCTACTATGGTGTATCAAAGGAAGACAAAGAATACTCATTCATGTTGCAAAAACACAACCAATTAGTAAGTCTGATGGTAGGTAATGGGCATAATACAATAACTAAAATAAATAAATGTTCATGGCAACATTCCCTAGGCAAAAGGCAGAATCAAAACAACACAAAACACATTGTTTGGAAACTGACCTTGAGTCCTGAGATGTGGTCTGAGATACTCTACAAAGAATTTGACACTGAAAATCCAGCTGAAAAGGCAGGTGTTAGGTAGCCCTGAGCCTAACTTTGGTCCCAAAATGAAATGAAAATGGGTTAAACTGGCATTTTGTCTTATCTTTACAAGAAAACACAACATGCAGACGAAATGAATACAAAGTGGCGCAATGTGGCGCAAAGGCAACCAAGGATTGACTTTTAAGATCCTCTGTCCCCTAAAGAAAGGATGTAAGCTGATGACGTAATATTTATTCATATGCCCTTTTGGTTGAATCACTCAAGAGAAATCAATTTTCTTGTAGTGAATAACACTCAGGGTTGATTTCATTGGAATTCAATATCGTGTTGGATGATTTTTATCAATAAAATCATTCACCAGGCAGAAGTTTGCAGTCCTAAAACCTTTTTTTGCAGTTTTTAAATCAGCTGGTTAAAAACTGTGTTATGGCGCATCTGTTTCGAAAATAACGAAATCCTTGATAACCTTGTGTTTGTTCCCGCGTTTGAGATGGGGGAGGATATTATATCGTTTTTATACATATTATTTGGTGACTTCTCTGGACAAGTGAGCTATTAACACATATTTTTACATGCTTCGTAATTTGTATCTTACTCACGAGTCACGAGCCAGCAATCCATGGCGGATAGGATGGCCTTGGCGGATAGGAAAAAGCTGATGTTGATCTCGCTTCCTCAGTTAGGAACATGGCCGAATCTGTAGTTTTTTATATTGTGATTTGTGACTGTCTATAGTCATTATTTGGTTGGTACCTGCAACAATTTAGGAAAATGTGGAAAATAAGAACGCTTGTGGTAAATGTGATTGCTGCTCACTGTGCACTCTTCAGAAACACATTTCAGTAATTCAAGTTCTTTTTGTCCTTGCTTTTTTGATGAATGTGTTAATGCTTTTTGTAGGCAATACCTTTTTGATTACAGGTGATATTTTAACAGCTGTAGACTGGAATTGAGTTTCAAAATTGTGGTATTTGTGGGGCGAACTCAGCCAACATCAGGCTGCTGGTAGTTTTGGTTGGACAATGGGTGGCTTCTGGGTGGGGCGGTTACTGAAATTGCCAAAATGTGGCATCTCATGTAGGGGTAAGCCAGAATCAAGAATGCAGGTTTTTTGGTATGCCGGTAATTTGGCGGTTTTTTTTGCTTGGGGCGTGGTAGCATGCCGGTATCCCAGAAAATTTTTGTGGGGCGGGGCGGTGCCGGTAGCAGCCCATTGGGAAAACTTTGCAACTCTAATTCAGTTTAACAAGCGCAGTGGAAGGGGGGGGGGGCGGATTCCGCCCACCCCTCCTGTTTTTCGCCAATAACTCGCGCCGCAAACATAGTATTATAATGTGAAATGTGAAATGAAAAATGTGAAATATAATGTGTATTATAATGTGAAATTTTGGCTACCTGTCCAGAATTGAACTGCAGATCTTCTCGTGCAAGAAATAAGAAAATCAGGTCACAACTTTTCTAGTAATAGCGGTGTAAAGTCAAACATCCTGTCGCCGCGGCGGCGCGGCGGCGCGGCGGCCGGCGCTAGCCGTTACGCGCCGCCTGAATTGTAGACTGTGCCGGGGCCGGACGGTTCAGTCTTTACATCGCGCTCCTTACCGCTGATTATATTCGATTAGCGTCAAACTTTGTGAGAAGACTAAGAAATGTACAGGCAATCTCATGGTCAAAGAATTTTGAAAATCGCCGGTAACAACTTGAGTTATGAGTGTGTAAACACAAAATTGTGATTGCCGCGTTTCCCGCGTCGGCCGATCCCGCTTCAGCCGGCGACATCTTACCCTTAGCAGGCTTCTAGCTGCCATATTTTTTGATTGATTAACTAGAAATTCACCATACATACTCACAAATGTATGTTCTTTCGTATAGTCAAAGAAAAAAGAAAATCGGCCGGTAACTTTTTGCGTTATCGGCGTGTAAACGCAAAAAAAGTCGCTTATATGGCAGATTTGACCACATTTGACCTCATTTGACCTTGAAGATATTGACCTAGGGTCATGAAATTCACACACAACAGAGTTCCCCAGGGCCTTCACCTACCCTCCAAATTTCGTCTTTCTAGCTCCAGTGGGAGCTGAGATCTTAGGGGAGGGGCGACATCCGCCCTCCTTCCACTGGGCGTAGTACTCGCAACCCTTCCACTGCGCGTGTTAACCCGTTAGGTCCCGTGTTTCGGCATCTCCAGTCTTCTTACACCACACGGTGTCACTGTAGTGCCGTGGATATTGACCTTCTGCTCCCTGCTGTTTCAGGTTGTTTAATTGAAGACCTATGTGATGACTCCGAACGATGTTTCAACGGTAAGTGCTATTATAATAGTTACTTACTTTTCGCAATGCATGCTTACAACTCAAATGACTGGTATTGCGTGGTGACGATCATCGTATTTTTGTTACCTCGATTCCTTTGAAATCGGACATGACGACACAAGCCAGAGTCTAAAAATGACACTGTCAGTAAATCATAAATAGTGTCGGTATCCCGTTGCCTGGTGTCGTGCCTCCACTCAGGCCGCGGGTCAGTCAGTGACTCAGTCTCACTTGCAGTCAAATTCGAGTCAGGATTCGAAGCGTGCTGCGCTGTCAGCCATCGCGCCGGGGCTGCTTGCCTCCCTCCAGTTCCAGTTCCAGTTTGCGTCTACTGGCCTGCCGCCAGAGGCGATTTCGGCCGCGTTGGCGTATTTCGGGGTTGGTGGCTGGTTTTCATTTGGTGCTTTCCAGCTCGCTGTTTTCCAGCAGATTTAGATACACTGTTCACGGCGCGTTTCATTCAGACCTTTAAAAACATGCGAGACATTAGAATGTAAGCTGGGCCTTTTTGCTGTGAGCGTTACATGACTTGCTTTTTGTGGTGATTTCGTGCTTCGTGTGTGTAATGTAATAACCAAAAATGACAATTTCCGTAAAAACACTTCCTCTTTACCTTTGTCAAACAGTACTCATTTAATTCATGACAGTATCCCAGGTCACGCTTACCCCTATACATCATCACATGAGTCACCATTTCCACACTCCGCAGTCATCGACGCCATGCAAGCACACATGGCACATGGGAATAAGGAATTCATTTTCTTCATTTTCTAGTAAGGCTGCCGTTCTTCATTTTCCATGGCGCTTTCCCTGTACCTACATATATGGCCAATTGGCGGTATCGCCCGTCCGCATACGCAGCGTAAACATGCCAAACGGACAAAACACACGTGTGTAACAGACATAACATTTTGCTCAAAAATATGTTTGGGTTGCATGCTAAAAAGCACAAGTTTTCTTTTATTTGATAACAAAAACACCCATTAGCGCTCATTCAGTACCAATCTAGAGACGTTTTGCCCTTCTCGACCCCGCTGACTGTGCGCACAGTTCATAGCTCTCGGAGAGTGTATGGCAGGTCCCGGGCACCACTTAGCTACAGTATCGCCACAACACCATTGAGCCGCACTGAACTACATCGACTGGTCACATCAATAAATGCGCACATCCCCACAACAGGCAGTGTGCAGATTCAGACCACGTCAGCTTTTGGAGCAGCATTCCACCTGTAGACACCCCAACTCACGGCGCCGGTCCGCCACGCGGGGAACATGGCCGCCGCTCGTCCAGCCGGCCGACCGGCCCCAATCAATAGAGCGCCGCCGCCGGCGCCCAAGATAGAGCAGTCGGATACCTGGCCGCGCCGGCCGGCCGGTACCCAGCCGTCCGGTGCCTCCGCTCCGACCGCAGCGCAGCGCAGCACTGGTGGGACTCTCCGGTCACAGGCTGACCCGCAGCCGACACATCAGGCTGGGATAGTGGAGCACAATGGGCACAATGGCCAATAGGGGACGAGACATCCCCAGTTCGAACAGACAGCGTGCCGGGACTGAGGGACCACTGGCCAGAGGCAGATCGGTGGCATATGGTGGCGATCGGTAATGCTACTGAAGGACGGGCTTATTGGAGAACTGAGCTTATTCGCCAAAAGCCTTGTATAATGGGTACATACTCGTATACGGGGATCCGCAATTGCTACTGTGCAGCAATCCTCAGGGAATTGTCTCATCAGCACCTTTACAGGAAAACACAATCAACTGTCAGAACCCACGCACAGAAACCCTCAATTGCTATTGTAGGACCCGCAGTTCCTGTCATTGCACACAGTTGGTGTACATACTGGACAAGACAGACGGGTAGGGTTGGGGTTCCTGTTCAGTAGCAACTGCAGATACCCGCACTTAAATATATTAAATATATTGCTCAAAAATATTGTGTACAAAGTGTACAGACAAAATTGACGGTTGACATGATATGCCTAGTCTACTTAGTACTTATAGTTCAACAGCCCAGTTTCCCTTTATTACTACCGCTGTAAGTTTAATTCAGTTGGAAGTTCGCAATTGCATAATACGACTTCAGATGCTCGTCAAAACTATATTTTGCATATTTTCATTGTTTCAAAAATGTTATCAAAGACCACATGTGTGACGATGCCGCCAAGTGCTGAGGACTGCAGCGGGGAGGGGTAATTTACGGCCCATTGTGGGGACGCTGGTAGCTGGTTTACAGGAAGTCATACCTGTGTGCTGACTGGGGAGCATTACGGCCTTATTGTCCAGGCGGCGGGGTCAATGGACGAACACCGCAGGGCGCCCTAACGGCCTTCCTGCCGCAGCGGAAAGTGATGCATACGGTAGTAGTCGACCGCCTTACGCTAAAGGGCAGCACTGCTAACGATCTGTGTGCACATCCGCAAACAATTTATGGAAACTCAACATGCATGTACGACGTACGTGCACACGGACATGTGACATTCAGCCTGTAATTTCTGTAAGCTGCCTTCCGCCAACCGATTACATTTTTTATCAGTTCAAATGCGACAAACTAAAAACAAATTAAATTACGCTTCCATAGTCAGCAAGCAAAAAAGCAAGCATATCAATTAGTCATACTGAAGCGCCTTAGAACTAAAATCGTGACAATAAGCATTATATTTTTGATACTGGCCCTATGTGATTGATTGATTGATTGATTGATTGATTGATTGACCTTATGCAAGTTCGACTCTATACGTGGTCGAGGTATGTACTTTACAAAAGGCACCTGGCTGCGGCTAGGCGGGCTGTTATCGCCAAGACAAACCAAAGCCACAGTGCGTTTAACTGCTGAGACATCCTTCGAAAAGATTAACAGATTAACAATTTAACGAATAACGATTCACGATCAGTTTTTAATGGACTAACGATTTAAGAATTACTTTCTTGTCATATATTATTACTTTCTTGTCATATATTATTACTTTCTTGTCATTACCAATAGAATTAAAGAACTAGTTGGTCCCTTTTACAATTCATAATGTAAAAAGGTAAAGAAAGATGTTTTGAATAGATCAAAGTGTAAAGCTCGTTGTAAAGAAGCTTTTGATTTTCAGAGAAAAGTTATATGCCTAATCACCAGGCATTATTTCGAAGCCTTCACAAGTTACTTGAAGGGTCGACAGGTCACGTGACTGGTGTGGTGAAGTTTACCCACCTCCGCCAACAGCAAGTGAACGTTTCAAGGATGAAACCGTCGAACAAAGAAGACTGTTACTTCAAAAAGATGTACGGCGAAAGAGAGATAAATAGCTTAAAGGATATCAAGGGACAAAATAATCGGACTAGACTGACTGTAGTTGAATGGGCTAGTGTCCCGCAGTGGTTGGCTCATTCAGTGTAGGTTTTTTCGACAGCCATAATGAGATTGCTCACTGTGGAACGGTGACGAAGACAGCCACCGCCGGACACTTGCGATAGGCGACGCCGTTATCATCCGGCGGGCGTCATGTAGGGTCCGGGGGAAAGTTCCGGCAGTGTCACGCTAGTTTGTGATGCGATTAGATATGTGCAAGTGACTTATACGCTGCAGCTAACGAGACTGATTAGTGCTGTACTTATCGTCCAGTCAGTGGGTCGGCCCGGGTTATGAAGGGTGAAGCTTCGAAAAGCTACAGAAATCCAGCTTCAATCAACCAAGCTGGCCAACTTTTTCTTCTATAACAATTGTCCGGGATCTGGGGCGCAGGCTCTAGCCCCGGTGAAAAAAGTTCGTGAATGGTAGGTGAGTTAACCCGGCAGTTGCTGGGGTGTTTCGCCACCCACCGTTTGCTGGGGGGGGGGGGGCGTTAAACGCCCCCAGCCGATAACTCGAGAACCAATAGGCGCAGCGAAACGCACGAGGCGGCAAACGAAAGAACGCGACGAGACGCTTCAGATGAGTACTTTAAAGTTGAATTTTGAGGTCACAGGTCGGGTCAAGGTCAGATCAAACACCTGAAATCGGGCTTTCAGTAGCATGGACTTCAGGACTTCGCAATGGGCGCCTCTCGTCATAAACTCTGTCAAAACGGTGCACAATCCATCATATAAGGCCTACAAGAGTGTCAGCTCCATGTAGGGCTCAGTCAAGCATAGGTCAGGGTCAAGGTCAGGTCAACCGGGTAGGCAAATATCCCCGAAAATCAAAACTGATATTCGCAGCCTGTGACACATGTTTTATGGGTAATTTGGGGCGTAGAACACGATGGTGACATTCATTTTATCATATGTGTACGTGTTTGGCTTAAAAAGTTCAATTTAAGAAATGCATGTATCATGGTCGTAAAGTAGTCACGAGAAATTGCCAAGATTCAGTTAAGATTTTGGAAACTTTGGAACGATAATCAATAATCGAAGATAGCCATTTGATTGTTCATGGTATTGGCAGTCTAATGGCGTTTACGGCATGTCTGTATGTCTATTCTGTGATTTTATATGATTTTTTGAACATATGCCGTTTTTGGTCGAAAACTCAGAAATCATGACGTCACTAAAACCTCGATGCGCGCCGTTTTTATGCTATGGCCCGGCGAAAAAAGTGGGGGCGTTTAACGCCCCCCCCCCCAGCAACTCGCGGGTTAACTTTGAGTCAGACAGTCGGCTTATTCTTGGGGAGACTTTTCTTTTGGACCTCACTCTTCAACGACAGTGAGCTCATGGGGGGAGGATCGCAATTCACGTCTAGGTCGTATGGGGCAGGTGAACAAGTTTGAAGATTTGGTTTGAAAGAAATGGTAATCTGCTGCATTTACCATTTACTGTTTGGCAAATGTTAGGGATATCTTAACCCGCGCCCCGTAGGGGGGCCGAAACGGCCCCCCCTGTCCTTTTCCGTCCATATCTCCTAAACGGCTGGAGATATCGCCACCAAACTTTCAGGACCCCTCCGGGCATCAATTTTGCACATTGTGACAAAAAAAAATTCCAGAGGCTATGATAGATTGGCCACAAATGACGTCAGAATGACGTCAT